GGAAGCAGACAGCTTAAAACCAATTCCAGTTACTCAAAAACATCCAAAAAATATGTACGCAAGTAAAAGCATTAACACACAAGAGATCACTAAAAGGTTTTCAAAAATGTTTATTATCGATCCAGTGGATGGTGAAATTTCGGATAACACGAAAATACATATTAGTAAATCAATTGATTTTGTCGACATTAATGATGATTACGAATTATTTTTGAAATGTTTTAAGATAAATAAGTGATTTAAATAATTTAAGTTTTTTGAGATGTACTTTATATTAAAATTTTAATATTTTTTGTTATACTATTTAATGTTTTGTAATGTTTTTAATTTTCAGAAATTCTGGTGCGTGCGGACTAAATGTATATGTTGAGCACACGATCATGAAAAATTTTATTGGAAATTGATTGTATGCTTTCAATGTCTTTTCGTATAAATATTTATAAAGTACCTGACGTATAATTGGGGATGTTATCCTGCTTAAATCTGTTAGTTTGTGCTTTGAAACCCGTAAAGTAAATGGTGGTATAATGCAATGTTGGGAAGATTACTATGTCCAATTGTTTTCAAAGTTAATTGGACATATGTCCAAAACTAAATGTGGCGCAGTTTTTTGTCCAACTTCTCAACACTGGTATAATGGCTCAGGGAGGTAATTTGTCGCATCAAAAATGACTCATGAAAACATGATTTTTTTTACTAAGAAAATCGAACTTCATCCACCAAGTACAGAAGTAAAGTGATTGAAAATGCCGTTTTTTTTGATCCCTTTAAATTTTGATGATTATTGCTCGATCAGAGACTTATACTTTATTTCTAAGATTAAGGCAAAAACATATGGGGATAGGTTCGCCATCTCAAGGCTGTCGTAACAATGCATGAGACCAAACTGAAAGTATAGCTAAATAGAGAATCGGGGAGAACCGATAGTACTATTGGCTAGGAAGATAAACTCGACTATATAACGAGGTATGTTCGGGTTCTTGCACTGCTACTGCAGCCGCGAAGTCTAGTTCTGAGGTCCTTGCACCGCCAAAGCAGCCGCAGAGCCTAACTCTGAGGTCCTTGCACTGTAGATACAGCCGCGGAGCCTAAAACATGGGCCCTTGCACTGTCAGAAAAGACGTGGAGCCCGCACTACTGACCAGGGGTGCCGAAAAATTAATTGCAATTCAATTTTATTACAATTACCGTTTATCATAATTGTTACACAAAAATAATTGAGATCAATTAAATTGCAAATAATTGCAATTAATTGCAATTAATTGCAATTTTGTTTTACTGCTACATATTGCTACATATGATATAATTTAAAATGTTCAAAATACATATATATTTTAATGTAATTGTAACTAACGCTAAAAAAAAAAAAAGTTCTTTATATTTTATGCTAACTAAAAAAGATGATATTCAAATGCAGAGCTATGTACAATAAATCTGATAATGGTAATCATATACTATATCGGTTTTGGTAATAGAAACCTTAATGCTTAATTTGGTGAACATCTTGGATCGACCAAATTTTGTCATTCATTCTTAACAGCAGCAGGTTTTCCAAAGTATGCGGATCAAGAGACTTTCGCCAGTCCATATAATAGTATTTGACCACTGAAAATAAACGTTTCACAGCATTGGAGGTAGGAGGAATAATGTTCATATCCAAGTACTTTGATTCTTCAAGCTTGCACTTCTTTGCAACACGTTCTTTCATGGTCATAGGTCCTTCATTAACTATTGATTGTTTATTTGGTTCAACAATAAATGATTTGACTTTTTGTTTTTCATCTGATGTTAATGCTTTTACTTGCGTACATATTTTTTGGATGTTTTTGAGTAACTGGAATTGGTTTTAAGCTGTCTGCTTCC